CCTCCCTCCCTCCCTCCCTCCCTCCCTCTCCACTCTCACACATCAGAGTGTGAAAGAACAAGTCCAGGCTTCAGCATCAGATAGGCACAGAGGGAGAACCAGGATGGTCTCTTCCTGAACCTCCCTGGGCACTTTTCCTTCACCCCTCATACACATTATCAGGCAACAGCAGCTGCACCAGGAGCAGCCACTGACCTTGAGCAGCTACAAAGGCTGGGTCCATATGTGCTGACATCTTCTTGCCTTGCCCAGCTGTTCTGTGATCACCTGGGAAGGGATGAGGCCAATCTGTCTGTAATACACATATTCCTCTCAGCCAGCCAATTTATTCAGTATTAGTATTTGTATCTGCCCAGTTCCGGACCAATTCACCCTTCCTACAGGACAGGCAAGGTGACAACTCACCATTCTTTCCAGTTCAGTGGCTACCAGCTGTGTCATTTTACCCACAGAAAACACTGCTATTTTCAAAGGCCTGTGCCTTTGTGCATGTGATTGTTCACTCCTGTATTTGCTTTCTCCCACATCTCACATTTCCCTGCCAGATACTACACATCAGGACAGCAGATAGCCTCATCCCAGGTGCACCTTCACTAGTTCAGGTGAAACCTGCTCCAGGGTTCACTCCCCCTGGTACCTTTGGTTTACAAAGCACCATCTTCCTCTTCAGATACAGAAAGAGGAAAAAGCAGCCCCTGAGACAGGGAAATCAGCTCTGGGGTTCTCAGCACAGGAAAAAAATAGATCTGTTGGAGCAGATTCAGAGGAGGGTCATGAAGACGATTAAAGTGCTGAAGCACCTCTCCTATGAAGACAGGTCCCAAAAGAGCTATGGCTGTTCAGCCTGGAGAAGAGAAGGATCTGGGCAGATCTTATAGCACTTTCCAGTATGTAACAGGACCCATAAGAAAGGGACAAACCTTTTAGCAGGGCCTGTTGCAACAGGACAGATGATAATGATTTAAAACGAAAAGAGGGTACATTCGGATTATAGATAAGGAAGAAATTTTATATAGTGCAGATCAGATAGTGGTGGATGTCCCATCTGTGGAGACATTCAAGGCCAGGTTGGGTGGGGCTCGAGAGGAACCCGATCTAGTTGAAGATGTCTTTGCTCATAGCAGGGGTATTGGACTGGGTGGCCTTTAAAGCTTCCTTCCAGCCCAAACATATTACGAGTCTATGAAAAGCGGGGTTCGGGGTGTCGTGAGCCGTGTCTCGGTGATTCCCAGGCGGGCGGGAGCCGGGAGCGCGGCTCGTCTGACTCTCGGCAGGGTAAGGCATCATCTAGTGGTCACACGGCATCATCTAGTGGTCACACGGGCCCCTCGCACCGCGCTGTGCCGGGACATCCCTTCTCTTTCAGGAGCTGTAATTGCCACATTTCCTTTTAAGATAGGAGCGGAGAGGAGAGAAATCTGCGCAGGGCCCTGCTGGAGGGCTCCCAAAAGCCCCCGGCTAGTGAGACCCAGAAGGAAATTTGCCATTCTCTGGCATTGCTAGGAAGCATCACATTCCCCACCTCATTCTCTCAACGGAAGAGCAGTTAAGTGGATAGTGGAAGGAAAAACCACCTTGTGTATTTTGCCAAACACTGACATAGAATTTTCTAACCTTCTCCTTTTGCCCCCTGCGCCAAGAAGGCCATGGATATAAACATCAACCTCCTTTCCATGTGTACCGTCGTTAAAACTTTCTAGGTAGCTTTTCTAGTGTTCATAGAAGACGCCTATAGAAATTAAACAAAACCATTATTCTGCAAGAAGAGAGCAGAATACAAACTCAGTGAACTCACCTCACTGATTTCCTCTACTTTAAATCTAAAAAAAGAGGGTACAAAATTTTCCATTTCCCTCAAAGAGTGTACTGTTGCAGCCTTGCCAGGGTGGAGTGCACTTCCGATTGTTATCTGAGCGTGAGTCAGTGCCTTTCTTGAGTAATTCAACCTTCAACTTTGCATTTCCAGGGATTTTAATGTTTGCTTTAAAAATAAAAGCAAAATAAAATAAACTCTTTCAACCCTGATATTTTGGTACTATTATATTTACTCCAGCTGAATCTTAACTTCATCAGAGTACAGTTCTTCCTGTGGGATTTAGCTAATGTTTGCAAAACACTTGATTTATGATGAACTGTTGAAAATCATGTTCAGGGCTGCTATACAGCTGGGGGTCTGCTGTGCTTTCAGTGTTATTGTTGTGAGGCCACTTCTTACCTCAAAGACCCTTTGACAGTTTTCCTTCCCCCATCCCCACAGTCTTGCTTCCCAATTTTCCCCAGTAGATTTGTAGAACTTGCTTGGGAAGCAGTTGTATCACAACATTATCAAGAAGACAAGCAGAGATCAAGTTTATTTTCCTGTGCTTGGTGCTGGTTTGGTGACATGCTATTCATTACACATCTGTGGTGTTTATTTTCCCTCTCAGGATGCAGTGCTTTGTGTTCATTAATCCCAAATGTTTCCTGGTTTCCTCCAGTCCCTGTTGCTCTCATCTCCTCAGGCTTCAGTATATGTTGTTTCTCTTCTCCCGTGGCCCTTTAAGTTACAATGTCATCCCCAAATACTGCGGGATAATGCTAGAGAGGCGTCCATCAGAGGCGTCTCCTCAGGACATGTGAAGGAGAAAATTTGTATTAAGTCAATTTAGAAAGCTTCCAGCCACCATAAGTCTTGGCTGGGCTCCGTTGTGCAGGGAAGGAAGATGGAGAGTTGGGGGATGTACATTACCAAAAAACCCTAAGCGAAATCCCACACTTGGAAAAGTCAAGCATGTTTCAGCATGAGAAGAGTGGTGACTATAAATATTGGCAAGGATGTGGAGGCACAAAACAGATTAATGTAAGAGGTGAGTTGAAACAGGCATCTGCCAGCAGGAAACCACCTTACTAACTGTTGTTTTTGCCTCCTGTGGCAGGTGATGGACAGCTCAATGCCCCTGATTGGGGAGCACATAGAGGAGGACAGACAACTTATAGCCGATCTGGTTGTTTCCAAAATGACTCAGCTTGTCATCACTGCTGGATCTACACCGTCACCACTGAGGCCTTGGGTATGAGTGAATAACTTGTGATCAAGTTATTTCCCTGAATGTCTTTCTTTCTCTCTCCCCTTGCTAAATGTGTGAGGCAGTCAAGTCAGACATCTCAGAGAGCTGAACAGTCTCATACGGGAGTGTATTGGACAGGCTGACACCTGCTCTTCCAAAGGAGACTCTCACAGGTTCTTTAAAGTGGGTGCCCTTAAGGAATACATCTCTCTCCTTTACTCTCCTTCCAGATAAATATGACATCACACCAGTAGCATGTCCATGCATCTAGACATTCAGACTTGCTAAATTCATTGATTCACATTGAAGACAGGCATTTTTAGAGGAAATTCTAATACCCAGTTTCATTTCCATCTAACACCATCCCTTCAGGATGGGTTTCATTCCGGTTTTTGCATCCCTCTTCTGCTTTCAAGAACAGAAAGTGGGAATCTCCAGCAAGACTTGTTCCATTCCTTACTGTAGTTTCTTCAGAGATGTCCTTTGTCACCTTCATCAGGAGGAGGCTTTTCTAAAGCTGAACACATATAAGAATCTGTTATTTTTGCATTTAAACTGACCCCTTGGTTCTTCTTGTTTACATCCATTTTGAGTATCAAATGCATCTAATTTTATTCCCACCTTTCCCAGGGGGGGTTCTATATAAATGAAATACCTGAAAACATAACCTGAGTATCCAGGTGTACTTGCTACACCTCTTTCAGTATCTAACAGAAAGCCAAGTGTTGAGGCTTGAGGACAACAGAAGAGACAAGAGCAAAAAGGTTGAGGGACAAAACTGATCGCAACACACTAGTACAATTTTCATTTCCACTCGAGACAAAAAAAGGGAGAAGGCACTTTAGGGTGCTCTGCCTTTGTTATATGACAGACCACTCCTGCTAAACCAGGTCCCAGCATGAAGGGTATTCAGGGTAACTTCAAGTTTTAGCTAGAGTGAAGGAGTAAACATTTAATAAACACTGAAAATGCTTTGAGGCAGGGAAAGTGGCACAGAAGAGATAGCATTTACAAAGCGGAATCAAGAACTATAATTGAAATAGCTGAGATATAGAATGTATGAACTAGGAGCAAAGGAGCAAGCCAACAGAAACTGAGACCATGGACAGATGCATATGTTTTCTGTGTCCACGATATACTGGTACAGGATTGGATTGGATTACTGCAGACCTAAATTAAGGCCAAAACAAGAACAAAATAAATCTTGAAGGGATAGGGTGTCAAATAGAAGAGTCAAATAAGAAAAGGGTCTTCATTGGGAATAAAACCTTGAAACACCTGTATATATAATCAAGAAAACTAAACCCACAAACAGGTTAACTAGAGTATTTTACTATATAGAAAGATCTTGGTGCCCCAAACATGACAAAAATTGTACATGCTACATTAGTAATGTAATGTTATAACAGTTAGAAGTGTCCAGAAAGGAATAATTAAATATGAGGCTAGTGAGATGCAGAACTAGAGCTACAGGTGAAGACTTCCACAGAAGGAATACAAAGAGCAATTCTGAATATAAAGACAGAAGTACTGAATACATAGAAATATGACACCTTGGGTATCTATGGGTATAAATAGAATACCTATACATATTTTTGGACCTCTCTATACTAGTCTCTGGGTTGAGAAAAACTGAGAAATCATGAAACTGAGTGCACAGAATTGACAGAGATGGAAAAGTAACAAGTCACAACAATATGAGACTTCAGCTATCAAGAAGCAAGTCAAATATCACAGTGGGACAGCAGTTCAGAGGGAGGTAAGAACACCTTGACTTTACCATAAGAAACACCTAGGTACAAATTCAGATAGTGAGTGTGTACCATTAGATTTAATGTCCAAGGGACAAATGTGGTACCAAAAAGTAAGGGCATGACAAAAGCACGAGAAAAGAAAATGAATCAACTCCCAGCAGTAAAACTGTATAGATGCTATTTGAGAGACCACTGTTTTCCAGAATGCATAGATACATTTCTGATCTGCTCCTGAACCAAGAATGTGAGAAATAAACTTGTAGAATTAAATGACAAAAAGGACATTCAAGACAAACGGGAAAAAAATATTTCGAATTTGGAAATCTGACATTTAAGAAGACCTTTATGTGGCATCATACAGTAATAAAAGGAAATGTAAATAGGACAGAAATTTATTTTGAGGAGCAGAAAGAGGAAAGAATGAAACAAATTCTTTGAGTTCATCAGAAAATGGAACCCTAGCAAGCAATTAGTGGGCTCTATGGATCATCCAAAGTTAAGGAAGGAAAAGAAGAGTTGAAGATCTGGAACTGGCATGTCTTCCCAATCATACTGGCATGTGTTCCCAGTCACAACAGGGACAGTGTTGTGACTCTAATAAATGTAATTGCCTAAAGTGGGGAATTTCTTTACCTCGTTATAGTTTTTCCTGATCAGAATGACACAGAAAAGAACAAAAACAGTTATTAAATCAATGATGACTGATATTTTTAAAAAATTATTAAGCCTCCAATTCCAGATGGCCACATCCAATGAAATGAATTTGGGAAGTGACCAAGCTGCCAAAAAAACTGTGCAATATCATTAGAAATAGTTACTGCTTCAGAGGACTGGTGTACAACAAATAGAAAATATGTGGTTTGAAACCTGCAAGAGTAATATAGGAAAAGATTAGACAAATAAGTCATAGACTATGAATTATCTCAAAAGATAATTTAAAGAAGAATACAGAAGAATTAATAAATCAGCAGAAACCACAGCTAAGGGCATTTACCATGTGATTTTTTTGTGAAGAAGAAAAAATGTCCCATTAATTTCCTTCCAATTCTTTTCCTTTAATTTCTTTGGGAATTCTTTCATGAAGTGGTAAATAGCAGGCAATCAGTCAGAATTATGTAGCTCGTCAGAAAGCCTTAGGCAAGGAAACAGACAAGCTCTAAAAGAAAGCATGGATGGTAAAGTTTTAGAAAGCATAAAAGGTAAGGTTTTATTGTGTAGCAGAAGTTGACCTCAGATATAGATGTTAGAGATTTTATTTCTTGTGAACAGTTAGCAGAGGGGACACTTCAAGGATACTGTGCCTGGCCATGTTGATAAATGGGTTGGTTAAGCCCAGGACAAGATAAGATGTTAACGACAGGTTTGCTTTCATGCCTTCAACATGAACCCGGTCTCATGGCTACACTGTGGTTCTGTCCTCACCCTTCTGACCCACCACCAGACTTTCCCTTCTCTGTTTCTCTTCCAAAGCCAGAAGATCTTGGGCCCTCACCCCTGATCTCTCAGCCTCAAAAACCTGTTTTGCCTTTATCTCTGAGATGCCTTGGTTGACTGTAGGGGGAGGCTGTAGAGGTGAATATGAGATCCAATTCCTTTTCTTTGCCTGATCTAATCAAGACATCTCACAGCATTAGAACAGTTAATTTCCATCAACACCAAGGTAAGGTTTAGTTCCCAAGCTATGTAGGGCTAGAAGCCATGAATGGAAAATTCCCAGATTTGCCTTCCCCATCCATTTGCAAGTCCCAGTTAAATAGTGCAAAAGATGGGCTGGCAACTTCATCACATTCATGTTAGTCAGTTGAAACTAATTTCAGCGTTTCCAAGTATTTCTTCCCATTTTCAGAATCACTTAGCTCATTCTCCTGACCTTTCAGAAGCCTTGAAGACCCTTTTATCATGATGTTCTGCATGTAAATAATCCAGCATGTACCAGCCTATCTGTCTCCAGCTTCCCTGGTTTTCATAAACAATTTTGTGCAATAGGCTTACTCAGACTTTTGTTAACTTTGGACCAGCCCTTTGTGCAGCAGCTCTGCATTGCTTAATCTGTTTATTAAAATATCTGTCAAAAAGACTAAACAGCGAGAGAGAAGAAAGAGCAGATGGCACCAAATTATTTGCGTTAGTCAGGACCAGGGATGGCAGTGAAGAACATCTGACAGAGCTATGTATGTTCAGTCACCACAACAGCAAATGAAACTCCATATGGAAGACTGCAGGGTAAGCTAAGCTGGGGGTAGAGAGAGGGAGAGCATAAACAATGTGCAGAACTTTCAAGTGGCACCAGCCATTCCCTTGAGAAATACTTTGTCGCATACAGGCTAATGAAAACCATTGCTCAGCCTATGGTTGTGTTGACAAGGGAAAAGCAGGAAATTAGGATGCAGGAAAAATGAACTGGCAATGTATACAGAGAACCCAGATATTGCTTCATCTGGAAAAATGTAAGCAGACCCATCTCTGGCATCTGCAGGAGAAATTACAAAGCTGGGAAAGAGAAGTTGGTGATGAAAACAATTAGGGGCTTGGAAATATTCCCACGGAGGGACTAGAGGGATTCTAAAGTCTCTTGGCTTTAGAAAGGAGGTGAATGAGACAGAGAGCAGTTAAAGTTTGCAAAATAATGAATGGCCTAGCATGGGCAGGTTGTGAGAACTAGTCTCAAAACTCAGAACAAAGCAACAGAGATAAGAAATGAGAAAGACAGTGAGGCTGAAAATTGAGCAAGACTCAAAGGGTCTGGATGTAAATATCAAAACAAAATATCTGAAACTGTTGCAAAGATTTTGTGGAGCAGATAATAGGCTTCATGTTTCAGGGCTGAAGCTGGCCCACGCTTATTAGCAATCAAGAGGCGACCCCTTAGGGTACAGAGATGATTACTCCATAGACATTTCCATGGTTCATCCCTCCTTCCTTCGGAACATCTGGTGCTGGCAACTGTCCAAAATGGGAGATGGGACTAAGAGAACCCCTCAGGCCAGATACATTTGGTAATTCCTGATTGTCTAAAAAACATTCTAAATTGTAACTTCATTGTTATTCCCTGTGAGCAAACAACTTCTATGCTCTTTTTTACTCACCTCTCCATTTTAGTCCCATGAGATTTTACCAGATGCTGCATGTGTGTGAGTGTGTATTTAAGGAACACTTCATGACTCTACAGTTCCTGTATTACCTCAGGGCTTCTCTTTGGGGACTCTGTATTAACTGGACTGGCTTTTTTCCCCTCTAGCCTCCACAAGTTCAGCCTGTGTCAATGAAATCTCAGACTGGACCTCTGCTTGGACAACTGTCACAACCACGGCCTCCTCCACAAGGTACAGTTCTCTGATTCCTATGGCAGGGATGACTCTGAATCCTATCAGTTTGCCTTCTAAATAAAAGGAATCAGGATAAAGATTTCGCTCCTTTTCCAATTCACTGCCAAGAAGGCAGCAAATTCAGTGTACCATTAAAGCAGATACTGTCACATTCCACAGTAGGTCAGAAAGTGGGATGAAAAATTGATATAGATCCAGTTGATACCATTGGTAGGACTTGACTTAGCAAAACAAGGCCACTTGAACTGGCACTGTAGAAGGATTCTGAGCACAGATTCTGGGCACTGCACAAAGCTGTGCAGTTACAAGTGTTAAGAAGTGACGGCAAGATGCTAGTTTTGTCAGGCTTGGAACAGACATCAATGTTACAATGCCAGGATCCTTGATCCATCTGTCCAGGAGTTCCCATGTCAGCCAGAGCACACCTCCAGCTCCTCCTGACAGCAGAAGCAGGTTTGACTTATGTGGCTTAGTCAGAACAACAGGTTGGGCTTATTGTCCTGATGTACACTGAGGTGATGAAGCACATGGCTGGCCCGCAGGTAGCCAGATCTCACCAACCACCCAATTCACATAACTGATTAGTCCCTTCTTTTTGTCACTTTCTCCTCCTTTCTCCATTTCAACCTTCTACCAAATTAACACCCTCCTCTAATTATCTTTTCCTCATTGGTCACAGTTTTGCTGCATCGAAAATTGAGCATTTCTGATACCAAACACATGTATGTAATGTTGGCATTCCATATTATTACTGATATATGCTATTGGCCTTGCAGGATACTACTCCCCATCTGTCTCCAGTACTCCCCTTCAGTTCTCTGTAAAACTTTTTCTCACATAGCTCCTCTGACCACCTGGAAATCCAGCCAGACCTCACAACACTACTGGCAACTTTTGTCAGGTTTTCACAGTATTATCTGTCATGTCCAGCAATTTCTCTTGTCATGTCCAGTTGTTTCACACATCCTCTTCAGTTCTGAGAGTCTGCTACCAAAGCAACTGAAGGCACCTGGTGATGGTTCTGGAACAGAGGTATGGATAGTGACAGGATGGAATGTCTCACGTCAAACTGCTGGGTCCATGAAGGGACTGCTGACCCAAACCAGCAGGGTCAGCTTATGTTTCCCACAGAGTTGGTTCTCCAGTGACTCTTCCTTCCCCAAGCAGGAAGTGCTAACCCAGGATAAGAAACACCAGATACATGAAGGGCAAGGCAGGTTGAAGTGACTCCCTTTGGGGAGAGTGGAGGGATTTCTTTAGTGCTGAAGAAGGTAGAGAAATGGAAAACTCTAGAGAGGAGGGCATGACACCAATTATAGGCCTATAAGAGAGGATTTGCCATATTCTTCTCCATGAAGCTTCTCTGAAGAGTCTCTCCTCTTAGCAAAACCTGTCTTTCCATAGAGATGTTCCATGCTTGTTGCCCACCACACACATTTCCTGACGTTTATGTCTACGTGTCCCTTTCAGGTGGACCACGCCAGCCGCAGGGACCTCAGCCTCCACGGACAAACGCACCCCCACAGCAGCGGCTGTCTCCTCAAGGACAGCAGCCCCAGAGTCCCCAGTCCACTTCCCCTCAGCAAAGGTCACCTGGATCTCCACAGCAAGTCCGATCAGCAGCTGGGTCCTCTCCAGTCCAGGCCTCCAAGGCAGGCGCGTTCCCTCCACAGCAGCCCAGGCCTCCTGCCCAAGGCCGGGCTCCCAGCCAGCCCAGCCCCACGGAAATGTCCAAGCAGCAAACCACCCCACACCCACACCTGAAGTAAGTCTCTGACAAACTCCTAGCATCTGTAGATATTAGAATAAGGATGTCCCAAAAGTACCCTGAGCTGGCATGAAGAACATGTCACCTGTTGTCAGGCAGTAGTCCCCAGAGACAAAGGCCTGCACAGCTGTGAGTCACTTCAGAGGTAAATGTGAATCCCTTCACGTAACAGCGCACCAGTGATCTCTTGTCAGAAGGAATAGGTTGTATGTGACATCACAAAGATTTCACACTCCTCCTCTTGTTCATGTGCTCACTGTTCATCTTGTGCTCTACCCTGGCTATATCAACACAGCCACTGCCTTCCCAGCAGGGTATATAGTCCCCACAGCCACCACAATATTGGCCTCAACAGGAATTATTCCTTCACTGTTTCCCAAGTGCAGGAGCCACAAAGACACTTTTTACATTTGGTAGGAAAAAGGCAGGGGAGACAGGGGAGGTGGCCCTATTCATTTATATAAAATTCCAGATGGTGACTGGGGAAGTACTCTTCTGGAGCTGAGCACACTGCTGAATTATCTTTGGATCTTCAGTAGCAGCTTTTGCTGTGACCCTTTGTGGAGCATATCTAGCTGGAATCATGGGAGGAAAACTGACCAAAAGGAAGCCTGATGCTGACTAGAAGTTAACACAAGCAAATTGGTATGAATAGGTCAGAACAAAATAGAGGCTAGGAATAAGAAGACAATTTCTGAGAAGCAGAGGAGTGGTCTTCTAGAACACGCTTTCAGTGATGATGTTTACATTAGCAAGGCAAACTAAAAGAAGTTAATTTAAGGATCAAAACGTTGGTGCTAAGGATGCAGTCATCACACTACACATATTTCAGGTACTTTTTCCAGTCTGGTTTTGTGCTGGATTCCTATTACTGATCAGAAGAAACTAAACATGGTAGCAGGGAAAACTGGGACATTTGCTTCAAAAGCACAGTCCTGATCCAAACTTGACCACTAGCAGATACACAGCCAGCAGGAGCAACCCAAAGACCTGCATTAGAGAGTTGACAGTCAGAGCAGACAGGCCGAGGAGGGCAGGAAACAGCACACATTGCAGGGGATCTGGACACCAACTCACCCAGCCTCTGGTGCTCTCACAGCTGAAAGGCCAAGACCATCCTGCCTGGTAAGGCTGATGAGAGACAGGGGACCCCTAATATTGATCCATTCTTCTGTATTAGTAGTGAAATGACTTAAGGGTTTCTCACAACAGCCCCACCAAATGGCAACTGCATACTTCTAGTCAGATGTTTTCATCAACATTTACCAGTCTGGACTGAGCCACTTGCCCATGCCCCCTTCTGTCTCACCTTCCCCATTCCTACATGTTTTAGCACATGGGTATTTTCTGTGCCAACCTCTCCTTTCATCCTTGCATTTGTCTATGTGGTGAAACACAAAGCATGAGTAACCAGCTTTGAATATCCACCTTCTCCTGCTGAGACTGAACTCTGTTTTCACTTTCAGCAAATCGCAGTCCCTGACAAACAGCTTCAGCATATCTGAGTCACCTCAGCGAGGAAATGCCACTGAAGACGAAGCAAAAGCTGAGACCATCCGCAACCTGAGGAAATCATTTGCTAGCCTGTTTTCTGATTAACAGTCCTGCATCTGTGCAGGATCTGTGCTTTTGTCAGCCCTCACTCTACATTATGTCATACCTGATGTCATCCTGGAATATACTCAGTGAACCCAGCAATTTACAACTAACACCTGGGTAAAGGGAATTTAGAAAACTATACTTGTTTTAATACAAAGAAAATATTCGAATAACGGTCTGAAAAGTGACTGCATAAAAGTGTCACTATTTCACTGGGTTTTGTGCATAATCAGAATCACATCTGTTCAAATGACTGAGTTGTAAAGCAAATTTTACTCTTGCTAACCCCTGTGGAGTCAACACAGTTATGACAGTGCAAACTGGGTTTAATTTGTATATAGTCAATACAATTGTTAACTTCCAATTACTGAATTCTTGTTAAGTTCAAGCTAAAAAAAGATTAGGCTTCTTTCAGAAACACATGCAAAGGCAGAGTCAAGAATAAGTATCCACTGACTGACAAAGTAAGCATGCTTGAGTATCCAGTGGACTGCGGAATTTCATTACAGCAACTTCATAAAAGGTCACTTTTCAGAGCAAAACTACATTCAAGATAAATACAGTACCAGGCATCAGTAAGCACCAAAGATCACACAAGCAGGTCAGCCAGATGGACTGCTGCTTTGTTCCAGATCGCTCTGCTCATAGCAGATAAAACATGTCTGTCTCATGCCTTGCATTTATGTCCCCTGCATATGATTCCCAAGTTCTGAGAGAAAAATGTCATGTTCTAACCCTTTAGCCTTAGTTCAAAAATAACTAAAAAATGGGTCTTCCACAAAAAACCAACTTCTTCCCCTGCCCCTGAAAACACCAGAGTTCACATTCACAGTTCACACAAATTCCAGACAAAACCCAGCTAAACTCCAACCACTTTGGTGACTTGGTCACATCTGGCTGTGTATGTCCCCCAGGAACATGCTTAATTAATAGCAGAGCTGATGAAGTGTACATAGTTGTGTGCTGAGTGTTCCATAATACTGAATGGACAGAGAGATGGAGTGAAATCGTGTCTCTCGCCTTGAATTCCCACTGACTTTGCTGGGGTGAATGCAAAATGATTGCAAGGTGACAAACTTGCAACAGATCTGGAAAATTATTTTACAAATAAGATGACCTGGGTCCTTCCTGAAACACCAAGCCACAGGAAGGCATGTATGGAATTGTCCCAAGCAGGTAACAATCAGTATTACCTCTCCCTGACCACTCCCAAGAATTATTCTTCCAGAGAAGAGAGATGGATCTTTGCTGGTGTGCTTTTCCTCTAAGCCTGCAACACTGAACAAAGATGTGTCTGTGCACATATACTGGAACTGGGACATGACAAACCCCACACAAGCTGTGTTCATGACCGAAAAAACTCACCCTATAATATGTGGGTAAATCCATGTATTTATAGCTATTTATACCAGCTGAAGCCTACCCCCTTGCACCCTGGGAGGTCTGTTTGGAACGTACCTAATGCAGGTGCCAGTCCTCATCCTGACTCCTCAATATGCAGCTTTGAGGCCAGACTTGGCTTTGTGCTTCCCTTGGCAACTTCACTGTGATGATACTTAGGAATGCCCAGGGAGGTCAGCAAGTTAAAAAAATATTTGAGCCAATGGCCCAGATCTTTGCTGTCACTTAAATAAGGAGATCCCCAAAGCAGCAAAAGTAACAGCTGCATTTGCCATCTTGGATCTTATGATTCACTGGTGGGACTAAAGCCAAACAAGGAAATCCTTCCTGTATAGCACCTGTAATAAACATCTAAATCCAATGAAGTCATCTGGACCTTGTATGACCTACCCCTGAGCAGACCCTTGCACAAATAATGGCAAGTAACAGCATAGCTTTTCCAGATTGGAAGTCCCTCAAGAGACTCATCTGGATCAATGACTTATACCTCAAGTTCAGTATTACAGAACCACCTTATTCGCTGATGGTTTGTCTTCTGTTTTGCTTTGTTTTCCTCAGTTCTTTACTGTCCTTCAGGGTTTGCTAAGCAGTTTACAATGTAGCATCATCATCTGAGGGGAAAAACCCCAGTCCCTGCTGTTTTCCAGTCTCCAGGAGCAATAAAAGAGTGAGAAATGGCCTTGAACAAGCAGTGTCCCACTGGCAAGAGAAGCAGATTAACAGGCTTCACTATATGGAGAAGAGGTAAAACAACCCTGGCAGGAGAGGATTTCCTTCTGGAACACTTCCCTCAGCATGGTTTATGCCTTTCCCTACTAAACGGTCGCCAGAAATGCAGAGACAGAAATGAAAGCTTACTGCAAGAATCCTAAAACGCTTTATCCCCTGAAACTCCATGATTTCTTCACCAACACAATATATGCAAAAAAGGAATGGTGACTAGTATGACATGGTCCCCAAATCAACAGCAGTTCGTCACTGAAAGTGCAACAGCCAGGTCACTTGCTGAGGCTGGAACACAGCAAGGCTGTCCTCTGACAGATCACAGGAACAGGATAGCACTGTCAGCTTTGATAGCCAGCAGTAACTCAATCTCTTCCTTTGCCTACAACTCCCTGTTGTCACCTTTCAAGGGACAAGCAAATAGAACTGCATCTCACTGCCTACTTTAAGTTGCAACATCAAGTATAAACAACTCTCAGCTTTAGTTAGTCCATAGTTCCTGAAAATGCACCTTCAGTTCTATTCACAGAAGTGCTTTAAAACAGAGTTGATTTCCAAAGTTAGAATTATGAAAATCTGTTGTGTCCTTTAACTGTCCCAGCAGCACACTTCCAGTCTACAGCTGTGATGCTCACATACTAGATGTGGCTAGCATGAGATGCACAAATCCAGTCTTCAAGTTATCGCCAATGATGCTGGCTTTCTACTCCAAAATCCCTACACTCAAGAAAAAGAGAAGAGGGAAGGCAAGGGGTATTCTCCTTTTATATGAATGGGAAACTAAGGTATATCCAAAGGCATATAGGTACCTAAATATAACAGCAGGGGCAGTAAGAAAACAACAGAAAAACTGGTAAAGAGAAGCTACATTTAAATCACAGGGCACACAAGCCCCACAGCACACCTTGGGATCTTTCTCACACAAACGTGAAAACCGAGCACCTGGTTAAAGCAAATAGGACAAAAGAAGCTTTGATTTTCTTCACAGGGAAGCCAGGAAACATGACCAGGTTTGTGTGTTTGGGTCCCGCCCAAGAAGTAGCTGGGACACAGCTATGACACCCAACCATATCCAGCACCTGGAAAATTAGTTTACATTTTGCTGTTTAGCTACAAACTGAAGAACATCTTGACCTTCTTGTCATAGCTAAGTGTGGAAGAGGAATGGAACACACATTCCCAGGCAAGCTAAAGTCCAGAAGAACAGCAGTCCTACTTGTAAATACAGTGGTATTTTACAGTCTTCCACTAATCACAAGCAGGTATGTAAGACCTTACACCTTGTGTATGGCTCAGTTGTTTCATCTGGTTGGCTTAAAGTTTCATGAATAAGATAAAACAATACACAGAAAAACCAAGGATAACAGTTCCTTATTTCCAAGTGACTCAGTGGCAACCTTTACAGTGGTAGATCCTGATGAATAGTACAGGTTAGGAATGCTCATCTTAAGGCATTTCATCTTTTATGATTTCTCTTTTATCATTTGCAACAGCAATGACACACACTTGACTTAGAAGCTGGCAAATAAACAAAGCAAGCAGCTATAGCTTTCAAGTATTTCCTCTGTTTTATCTTCTAATTTTAAACTGTTGGTCCTGAGATACTCACTTTATACCCTGTTTTATGAATAACAGGAACCCTTCTTTAAGGAACTTTACGGTTCCAGCTAAGTGATGCTTCCTAATCTTTGGGTCACAACACCTTTCCTACAATGTGAGGGGCAACAAAAAAAAGGGAAGGAGTATCTTCAGGTCACTTAGTGGTGTATGTGTAGAAGGGCTCAATTCACTACGTCAAAAACAAACATTTCAATTACAAAATTCAGGATAAAGTGAATCTCTGGCATCAGCCTGGCAGAAGTATGACTTCATGGTTGTCTTCACAGCAAAGAGGGCCCAATTCCAGAGCAGCACACAGACTGCCAGCAGGGCAAACCATGTGACTGTCATCAAGGCATTGGCAATGTGAGTACCACTGGCACCACAAAATTAACTTGTCACATGCATTATGTGATTACTATTCCCAGAAAGAGCTTGGGAAAAAAAGGAAAAGGGTAAGTTATGAATTATTAAATTATTGAATTATTAAAGCTCTAACCTTATTTGAATTTTATCCTTACCTGAATTTTATGCATTGCTGAAGCACTCATCACAAGGACAAAATGGTGCTAGACCAATACAATGTAGATTTCACTTTTCATGTTTATAGTCAGTGGGATAAAAAGATTTGCTGAAAACTCTAAGCCATCTGACCATACATTTCACTGGTGAAAATGCTTTTGGAACAAGGCAATCCAACCACTGAAGGCAAATGTTAAAAGTCAAGGCTAATCTTGGTAGTGAAGGAAAACTATCTCTGTGAAGTACAAAAGAAGAAAGAAGCAATACAACTTTTGACAGCAAAATAAAGTATTATATTTTACTTCCACTGGCAAAACTCCCTGACCTTACTGAAGTCAGCTGATTTTATACAAAACAAGATGAACCACTGAAATCTCACCTGAAAAAGCACATAGCTATTACTGATCAAATAGCTTGTATTTAACAGGAAATGTCATTCCATTTCCACAGCTGGAATTTCATAAAAGTTTTAGAAAATATTATCAGTTGTCACAACAGTCATTAGTACCATTCACATTTATAGAAACACTGAGATCAATAATCTTAAAAAATACATAACAAATTAAAAGTTCTAGCAAAGTTTAGTCATTCCAGTCTTCCTTTAATTGAGCTCCAGCATCAGCTTGCAGGTCTTATTAGGAAACTTTAACAGTGGTCTTGTTAGCTGCTCATTAGTTAATAAGACAACACTTGAAAGGTGCTCATAACATGCTACGACACATTTCCTTTTGACAAGGTATCATCTGATACTTAAGTAATGGAATTAAATGGAATTTACTGAAGTCAGAATTCATTCTGCTTCTCATGTTGTGATTCCATTCCCACTGCAACCAGGTCAGCCTATTTAATTCTTTAAGTATGTCAGATAGGGAGAAAAGATGCATTTTCACACCACTTTTAGTTCAAACACAGTAAATGCAGTCACATACTACAGATCCTTATTTGTAAAGTCAATGAAACAGTCAAAAGTTTTGCTGCTGATTCTTTGTAAAATTGCTCTGCTTAGACTTCTGAGTTGCACTGTAGCATGACTTTACTCAATTGTTTGTAAAATGAATTAATTTGTGTTTT